TATTTGTCGTTTTATTGACCGTTGTGTTATTGATAATGTCACGACAAAACTAATGAGAATGCTTGTTCCAGCCTAATATGTTTTATTCTAGTTCCGCAGAAAACTACTGAGAGCACAGGCTGCATGGCAATAGAGAAATGGGCGTGTATTCCTACACCAGTTAATTATGTCAACTAGTGAGAGACCAAATATCTTTCACATTATCTCAGCATTAAGCCTGCGTACCCTATGGGCAGAATATATGCACCTGAGCACCTAAGCAGAACATGCGAAGAACCGTCATTCACATGTTGTTTTCTTTTGTTGATAAAGCAACCAAATGTTTGAAGATCATTTCCCAAAGTCTTTTTTTTTTTTTTTTTTGGCAAATGGTTGAAAATCAATAACTGTGAAAAATAGTGGAGATATTTTTCTGTGTGGAATGCCTTTTTTTTTTCCTAGGTGGACATATGGCTTAATCATGGTGATTTAGATTCCTAGGACCAAAAGGTCTCACAGAAGAAACAGCTACTGACAAAACTATTAATAAGGTAGGGGGGGTGTAATGGCAGAGCATTCGTTTGGGCTGTGAGTGATCAGTCAAGTTTAGCATTGTATTCAAAGAAGTAAATTTTCTGAAGCAGAGAGAAGGTATTTGATTTTCTTGTACTTTGAAGAAACTCTCTAATATAGATCTTAAAGGTCTTGGGCACTGAAACTCCTTTCTTCCTCTGTAAATGTAGATGATTTGAAAGTAGTAAAAAAAAGACTTCAGCATAACAGAATCATCACCTACCATGTAGTAGAGCTTTTCTACCACCCTCTGATTTTTTTTGTCTCTTGAACATGTTCTCCAAGCACAGCAGAATTATTTCAGTCGATTCATGAATTAATTGAGGGAAAGCCAGTTATTTCTGCTATGCAGATCATCGCAGTGGTTGTAAGATCACTGGGAATAGCCACACCGTGCAGGAATGACACAGTGCAGAGATGTTTCAGTCAGAGCCAGACCATGACCACAACCCATCGAGGAGCAGGACTGTGCCACGTGGACTCAGTAGCAAAGACCTGAAATGTGCCCAGCTCCATCTGTATGGCCATAGGTCTGAGGGAGGAAACTCAGAGCAGAAGTTAATTGCAGTCAGTTTGGCTTCTAGCTCCCAAGCTGGACATGCCACATATTTTTATGTGGAGTTCTGAGCAAGAATATTTTTAATATGCTCCAAACGCTCTATGGCTCTAGTTCCTGAGGCTCTCTGTAGATAACCCCACCCTATCCAGTCATTTCTTTAGTAGCTCCTGAAGTCTGTGCATAGGTAGCCAGCCTACCCAGTTCTCTGCATAGCACCTGGTCTGCCTGGAGAAAGGATGTAAACACCTCTTGCCTTCAGCAAGTAGGAAATGTCCCAAAGCATCTATTTTTACCAGAGTGAAGTTGAGTTGCCATGTTACAGTCGAAACAAAGAGTAATTAGCAATTCATTGAAAAGATACAAGAAAAGAAATCATACAAAGGGGAGTCCTTGCTGCTATCTCACTTTCCTGATTCTTATCTTTTACTTCCTATTTCTGGCTTTTCATTTTGGA